TGAATGAGGGGGAAGGAGCCTTCCCAGAGGTCTCGGGGAGACAAGCAAGAAGCACCAAGGCCCTGAGCGGGGAGGCGCCCAGATATGCACACAAAGGAGTGTCGGGCAGTTAGGTGTGGACTTCAGAGGCCCGGGGAGGGGGGTCAGAGTCAGGGGAGGCCCCTTGGGAGATAGGGGAGTGACTGCCCCCTGCTCCACTCCAGTGGCAGGATCGACACCTAAGTGTCCCCTTGATGACTCTCTCTCTCCTGGACATCCAAACAGCAGCAGGTCCTGTTCTCTCTGTTCCCAAATGCGTCTCAAATCCACGCGCTTCTCCCACCTCCCCTGCTGCCATCTCACTCCCGCCTGGACTGCGCAACAGCCTCCCTGTGGGTTCTTGCTTTCCCTGCCACACACGACACATTGCCCGCACGGCGGCCCAGTTATCTTTTCAAAACAGAAATTGGATTATATGACTCCTTTGCTTACGTGGCTTTCCCCTAAACCCTAACCCTAGAATCAACCTGGAACCTTCTGTGGCCCTACCAGCCATAGGAGGCTGGCCTGACTGCATCTCTGACAGGCCCCGGCCCTCTCCCGGGCCCCTCACTAGCTGCTCCGTCCTTTGAGCCCACTCCGGCCTCAGGGCCTTCACCTGCGGCACCTTCTGCCCAGGAGGCTCTGCCCCATTCTTGGTCTTTGCCTGGCTGGCTCTTGGTGATCACGTGGCCCTCAGCTCAGCATCTCCCCCCAGAGAGGCCATCTGCCCACCACTGGGCTCAGTCAGCAGCACTCGGCGCCCAGCACTTGCTCTCGGGCATCCTGTTGTTTGACTGGGTCGGTCTTCACTCTGAGTGGTCTGTGGACTGCTCTGTGGTTCTGTGCCCTGTCCCTGCCTCCAGCACGGGACTTTCCTGAGAGCCTGTTCCAGTCGATGTTCCTGAAGCTACCACTTGGTCCCTGTGAATACCTGTCTAAGGAATGAGAGAGTGAGAGCCTTGTCTGCCCAGTTGCCCCAGCATCAATGACTGAACCACCCGGCGGCCAGTGACCAGGCCAGTCTGAGGGCGATGAAGAGGTCAGGTGTGGAGGGAGGAGGGAGGCTCCCAGGCAGGTATGACAGCATCCTCAGGACCTCTCAGTCCAGGGGGGCTCCTGGAGCAGGTGAGGCCACCAGGGCACCCTCTTCCGCACTGGGCCTCCACCCTCAGAGCCCCTCGTCCTCCGTCTGCCCGGAGTGGCAGAGCTGGGTCCAGCATGGGCTATGGACTTGGACGGATCTCAGTCTTAGAAATTCTGTCTCTGCGTCTTAGTGGCTGAGTGACCTTGGACATGTTTCATAACCTCTCTGGGTCTCAGTTTCTGCAATTAGAAAATGAGGAGATAATACCTAACCACCCAGAGGCTGTCTGTAGTGTGTGCCTGCACGTGGACAGCATCAAACGATGTCAGCTCCCTGCTCTCCTGTGGCAGCCCCAACGGGGTGGGCGGGGGGCAGGGGCAGCCAGGGCCTCCTCTGTCCTGTCGGGACGCAGGGTCTGTAGGCCTTCCTCCCCCCACCCCCCAGGTCTCCACCCTGACCCATGTCCTTTGGCAGCAGCTGTGATGTGAAATGCTTTTCCATTCAGCCAGGCTGGCTCTCTTCTGCCTATTCCTCAAGCTGTCCTCTCCCTTGTGGAGCCCCTGCACTCCACTGCTCCAGGGACCTGTCTTTTCATGTTATCACCGCCAATCAGGAGATACAGACTATTAACTAATTCATGCTATGGAGTTAATGTTACCTTGGCTTTTAAACATAACAGGCAGGGAGGGCAATTCTTAGCCCAAAGGAGTGTCTCACGAAGGTGAGATTTTATGTATTGTGAGGGAAATACTGGAGGTGGTGAGCTCTCTCTGGCTCCTTCAATGACATCTTTAAAGAACAGCCTGCCCCGCGTGCCAGGGTCAGGGCCTCCGTGGGCTTCAGTGCCTCCTCCTGCTGCTCCCCCCATCGGTCTGAGACTGCGCAGTCCCACAGGCGGCCATCTCTCGGGCTAGTTCCCAGCACAGCCGGGGTGGGGAGGTCTTGGACCCTGACCTGGGAGCCACATTTACCACCCCCCACCCCATGTGCATGCCAGGACTTGCAGCCTCTGCTTCTCTCCCACGTGGAGGGAGAGGTGAGTTTCCCCCTGGCCCCGGGAGGCAGCCCTTCCTGTGAGAACGTGCCCCACCTCAGCCAAGGTCCTGGGTCCAGCCCTTTCCCACCACGGAGAAAATAGCAAGAAAAACAGATGAGAACTGATACCCCCGCTGCAGGGTCTGCTGGGACCTGGCCCTGGAGGAGCCCCAGGAAAGCTTTAACCCCGACTCCAGCCAGTCGGGAGGGCGAGGGGAGTGGGAGGTCACCTCTCTGGCTAGAAGTTGCTTCCTCTCGCTCTCCCACCTGGGACGCTGTCAGTATCCACCTGCTCTCGCCATGGGTCGTCACTTCCCAGAGGTGGGTCCTGGGCCAAACCCCCGAGTCCTCAGGCTGGACGGCAGCACCAGAGGTCACCTTGTCCACCACCCATCTCTGGGTGGTACCCTCTTTGAATGGGTCCAGACGTTCCCATTTTAAAGCTCCTAGGAAAGGGACATTCCCAATCTGCCGATCATCCGCGTCCGAAGGACCCCCAGTGAGCCAGGTGCCCTGAAGGAGAGCCGGTCTTAGAGTCAGGAGACCTGGCGAGTTATTGCCCATTTCTGGGCCTCGAGTTTATAACCTGTGAAATGGGGGTTCTGTTACATGGTGTGCTTCCTCACAGGGTGGTGACAGGGCCCACCTGAGACATGAGCGTGAAGGGGCCATGGTGGGGGCCCGGCCCCTCCTCCCTCCTGCAGCTGCTGCCGTACTTGGTCTTGCCGAGGCCTGCCCGGGGCTCGCCTCCCCTCTGCCTCGTGATGGCGTGTCCCTCAGCTTCCTTCTCTCCCGACAGAATGATCTGTGCTCCTGTGGTCTTGCCCCGGGGCCTCATGGCTTCTCTCACCACAGGACATGGAGACACTTGGAGATTATCAGGCACAAGCCCTGAGCCAGGTGTTTGCAGAGCCCTCTGGCTGTTTGCTGAGCACCTAGAGACACCAGAGGTTCTCAGGTGTGGTGCTTCTAGGGGCTTCAAGGGGCAGGAGCTCAGGCACAGGGTTATTGGTGGGTGTTTGCAGAGCACTTCCCATGTTATCTCATCTAGTCCTCACCCTCTGAAGTGGGTCCCACTTTCTCACTTTACAGAGGAAGAACTGATCTTGTAGATCACAGACCTGGGGCCCAAATTTGGGTCTCTGACGTCCAGTGGGTGCACCAGGCTGGCTCTCCTGCAGGGGATCCAAGAGGAGGCGGTGGGCTTCAGTCACAGCAAGAGAGCAAGGACTGGATCTAAGAAAAGTTCAGGGAGCACCAGTGATCTGGGCCGCTTTCAGGCCCCTGTGGTCACAGAGGAGGAGGGGCCCCCACACCAGAGGAGTTGGAGTCATCAGGGTCCTCAGTTTCCCCAGCAGAATAATAAGGAGATTGGAAAAGAAGGTCCAAAGGTCCCTCCTAGTGCTCGCTTTCCAGATGGGGTGGGGGTCTGGTTTCTCTTAGCCCCCAAACTGCTCAGGAACAGTGGGTTCTGATGGATGGAGAGGCGTCCAGGGTGAGAGGGACCTTAAGTGTCCCCGCTGTGAGGGAGAAAGCTCAGATTCTGAGGAAGAGAGTCAGAGGGAGGCCTCTCCTTCACACTCGGGGCTCAGTAGCTGTTTACATGCTCAAGGAGGGTACTCCATCCATGCGGGAGCTGCGCTGGAAAATAACAACTGGGCAAGCTGATGCACTGAGCCAGCTCCTTGGCCAGAGCAAGGCGGGCCCCAGTCCTTGGCGCTTGCTCCGGGGCCGCTGTGTGGGCAGAGGCCATGCTGGCTGCTGGCCGCGTTGGTTTAGGGAAGAGGGGAGCCCCCAGGACGTCGGACCCTCAGCCCTGGGTGGGGTGGGGGGCAGTCACTGCCCGTGGGCAGCCTGGTCATTTTCTGTGGCATCCAAACGTTTTTATCTCCTGTGTGTGTCATGATGTGAAAAAGGTTGGAAGCTCTGTCCCTTGACATCGTCCTGTTTATTTCCTTCGAAGGACATATCACAACCTGTAGTTGTCTTGTTGCATTTATTTTTTTACTTTTGTGCTATCTGTCTCTTCACCCAAAACGTGGGCTGTGTAGAGGTGAGGATCCTTTATCTTATTCCAGCACAGAGAGCAATGCCTGGCACAGAAGGCACTCAAAAATGTTTGCTGAATGAATGCATCTACGCACACATACATGAATGCAAGTACCTCGCCTGTAGTAAATGCTCAGTGAACATCAGTTTTCTTTCCTGAGAATAATTCCCAGTTAGCTTGGGAGTGCAGAGCTGTTCTTGAGATCAACCTCTCTGGAGGTAAGCACTGTACAGTGACTGGAAGGGGAAGGGAAAGGATGGAGGGGGAGAGGGGGCAGAGCCAGGAGGAGGTTGCGACAATTGTGTCAGCCAGCCCAAGGGGAGGGGTGGTTTGTTAATTACCTGGCTGTTTTGGTCAGTGTAGACATGTGTTAGGAAGCAAGGGACAGTGCTGCCACCTTCCATGTCGCCGTGGGCAGATCACATGACTGCATTGCATTTGTTTCCTCATCAGTCAAATGGGCACTCATTCTGCCTGTGCTTTCCTGCCCGACGAGGGCGTCACGAAGCAATGACAAGGTGACCAGAGGGGATGTGCCAGCACATGTGAGCGTTTTTACTTTGGTAATTTTATTAAAACTCCTAAAGGGAGTCCTTTGTTTTCTGCTATGATTTTTACCATTAACCAGGTTTCCCACCCTCTGCAGGAGAAACGAGCCAGTGCATCGCAAGCTCTGGCCTAAATCTTAGATCCCGAAGACTCAGCCCTCTAGCCAAAGACACACACCTCCCCATTCCTTGGGCCCTGGGAGACCCCCAGGGGTTGAGTGAGCCGCAGAGGGTCCTCATACTCTGCCCTCCTCTCCCCCAGGTACAAGACGGTGGTGACTCCCCGGAGGGCTGCAGTGGCCATCGCCGGCTGCTGGATTCTCTCCTTCTTGGTGGGCCTGACCCCTCTGTTTGGCTGGAACAACCTGAGTGAGGTAGAGCGGGCCTGGGCGGCCAACGGCAGCGTGGGTGAGCCCGTGGTCAAGTGCGAGTTTGAGAAGGTCATCAGCATGGAGTACATGGTCTACTTCAACTTCTTCGTCTGGGTACTGCCCCCACTGCTGCTCATGGTCCTCATCTACCTAGAGGTCTTCTACCTGATCCGCAAGCAGCTCAGCAAGAAGGTGTCGGCCTCCTCTGGCGACCCGCAGAAGTACTATGGGAAGGAGTTGAGGATCGCCAAGTCGCTGGCCCTCATCCTCTTCCTCTTCGCCCTCAGCTGGCTGCCCCTGCACATCCTCAACTGCATCACCCTCTTCTGCCCTTCCTGCCACAAGCCCAGCATCCTCATCTACATCGCCATCTTCCTCACGCATGGCAACTCGGCCATGAACCCCATCGTCTATGCCTTCCGCATCCAGAAGTTCCGGGTCACCTTTCTTAAGATTTGGAACGACCATTTCCGCTGCCAGCCCGCACCCCCCATCAACGAGGACCCCCCAGAAGTGAGGCCCGATGACTAGACTCCACCTTCTCTCTCACCTGCCTTGTCTGGGCATCAGCCAAGTCCTCACCTGCCCCTGTCCCTCTTGTCTCCCTGAGCCTTCCCTGGCTGGGCTGTGGGGTGTGGGTGCCCTGTACCTCTGGGTCCTGGAGGAGGTTTGGGGGGCATCCCATGGGAAAGGAACCAGGTAATCTGAGGGGAGGAGGAAAGTGGCTGGAGCCTCCCCCTGCCTGACCATCCCACGGGCAGCCAGTGCTTCAGGCCACAAAGGGGCCGTGTCGGCTGGGAGGGCTGCTGGGGCTCCCCCAGCGGGCAGGCAAGTCTGCTTGTCTTAGGTGGTAGTGGTGCAGCCCTGGGACCAAGCTAAAGGAAGAGAGAGGATGGAGATGGAGAGAAGGAAGGGACCAGATGTCTTGGCCTTGCTTTCGCTCCTGCTCTGTAGGAGAAGGTGGCCAGAGCTGCTGAGGGACGAGAATCAAGGAGCCTCAGTCCCCACCTCCAGGACCCTGCGCTCCAGCCACGCTGGGTGCAAGGTGCCTGCTCCCCTCGCCCTGGGAGCCCAGGATTATGCTTGGGAGAGGCAGAAAGAGCAGGTCCAGAAATCGTGTGCAACATCGGCTTTATTCTCCATCAGCCCTTGACCCTGGGTGGGGGCTCCTAGTGCCCTGGAGCCAATGTGGAGTGTTAGGTACAGGCCTCAAACAGCCACTAGGTAACAGCACCAGGCCCTCATTCTTGCCCTGAGCGTCCCAAGGAGGAGCCTGGTATGTAACTACCTGTCATCTGGGCCACCAGCTCCACCAGTGATGACAGGCCTGGACTCTCCCAGGTGACACCCATCTCTGCTGCTCTGGGCCAGATGGAGAGGAGAGCCCCAGACGTGCCAACTCTTGGGAGCATTTCCCTGCCTGGGGAGGAGGTGGACGAGGGAAAGTGTACTCGAGGTCCTGGGGGCTGACTCCTAGAATGAGGTGTGACAGGCCAGAGGAGACCACCCTCCTGAGAGTGCGGGCAGGAAGGTCTTGCTGGCATTTAAATACCCTCAGGGCCCCTGGCGTTTCCCGCTGTTTTCGGGGGCTTTGGGCTCTGTGGCAGAGTCTAGGCTTTGAGGGCATCTGGGGAGGGGTCCACCCTGCAAGCCGGGAGCCTGTGTGCGGAGGGGGCAGGGATCTCAGTGTGAACAGCCACTCCAGCCTTGATTGCAGGCCCTTCCCTCTCTCTGAGGTGGGGGTCCCCTGGCTTCCCAGGAAGGGCCACCCGACTAATAAAAGACTGAACCCTGATGGCAAGTACACTGCTGGCTGCCCACCCCCAGGGGCAACAGACAAGCTCAGCAGAGAAGAAGCAGTGGTAGGGGCGGGGGAGAAGCGGGGAGAGGGGGATGTGGAGGCGTTTGGTGCAAGGAGGGCTCCAGGGAAGGGTGTCTGTTCCTATTGTTACAGTCTTGGGGTAGCAAACCCTGAATGTGAAAGTAAAATCCTGAAAAATCTCGTGTCTGGAAAACCCCCAGGGCAGCTCGAGTCCTGTCCCACTGGCCCTTCCTCAAGGTGTCGTGTGTGGAGACCCCTCCTGGTGACACATTCAACACCCCCTCACCGTGACACAGCGCCGCCTCATGACGATGGTGCTCACTGTCATGGAGGCCCCGCACGGGAACACCACACACCTTTATTTGAGCGCCTCTTGCCCAGTGCACAGCTCTCTGGGGGGCACCCCAGTCTCTGCACCTGCCAGGCTCCCTTGTGCCCAGGAAGCCTGGCCTGGGGCCTGCCACCCACTCCTGGGCGCTAGGCTTCAGCTTCAGGGGAGGGAGGCCAGGCAGGAACCAGGGAGCAGAGCCATCAGGAGTCGCTGTGGAAATGGGGGTCTGGCTTCCATGGAGCTTGGTTCTGGGCCTGGCGGCCCTGAGCCCTCAGGCCTGCAGCACCTGGCAGAGCACACGCTTCCTGAGCCCCTGGAGTTGGGCAGAGCTGGGCTGCACGTGCCCACTGAGGAGGTGAGGCGGGGCAGGAGAGCAGCCCTCTGCCCTTCCCAGGCTGCCCTCCCTGAGGGCCTGCGCCAGGTCCGAGCCCTGCACTGTGCCTCTGGATGCTGCTTCACTTGTCCAGACCCTCCAGCCACCGGGGAGGGAAGGCTGGCATAGGGTGTTGCCCCCACTTTTCTGACGAGGAAGCAGGTCCAAAGGAATACTCTGGCCTGCGGTCACTCAGAGCCAGGACTAGACCCAGTCCTGTGCCCTTCCAGGCCCTGCACTATACCCATCTCTGGAACACCTCCAGGATGGTGTGGTTGCCTGTGATGGCAGATTCGTACGCAGAGCTGCCTCCCACCTTCCTTTATCACCCCACCCCTGCTTCCGGCCTTCCCCCCAGAGGCAGCAGGGGGCATGGGTCCAGCCACTTACCTTTCTCCTCATCACAGCCTCTTCCAGATGCTCTTCAGTGTGTGGCTGAGGCTGGAAGAGATCCTGAAGGTTAGGGCTGAGGAGGGGGACAGAGCGGCTCCAGGCTCCACGGCCTCACCCAGGCAGTCCATCCGTCTGCTACCTCCTTTCCTCACACTGGGCCTTCCTCCCAGTGGAAAGTCCTTCTGACAGCCTGACCTCGATCTTTACTTGATTATCAGTGCTCAGCCTCATCTGGTCCAGCAGGAGCACATTTCCTGTTCTCCCATCCATGGGAGGGTCCCTAAGGAGTGGCCCTCCTCAAATCCTCACCTTTAACCTCCAGCTGGCAGTCCACAGATGCCTCGCCCAGCACGTTGACGGCCTTGCAGGTGTAGACTCCAGAATCAAAGGGGCTGGGTTTCCGGATCTCCAGGGTGCAGACGCCTTGTTCGGAGAGGGCGCGGTATTTGGGATCGCCGTGGATGTCCATCTTGTTTTTCATCCAGATGATCTTGGGCTGAGGGAGTGTGGGCAGAGGAGGGCTGTGGTGGGGCTCTTGAAGGCCATCTTCAGGCTCAGGGGAGAAGCCTGGGAAGATTCCTCCACCCACCGCCCCGCTGCCCAGCACAGCAGGGCCCCGTGCCTCACCTTGGGCGATGCTCGGACACTGCAGAAGAGCTGGGTGCTGTAGCCGGGGGTGGAGGTATGGTCAGCCAGGGGTTGGGTGAACGAGGGGGCTTCTGAGAAGTCTCGCTCAACAAACCCTTTAGGTTTGGCAACAGTATCTGGGTTCAGGGGAGAAAATGGGGTAAATTTGAGGTTATAGGAGGAAACCTTTTAGGACTGACATCATCCATGTTCGTAAAAGAATCACCCTAGCTTACACCTGGGATCTCTTTAATCTGCACAGCGTTCCTCTGCCAGGGCAAATTTGTCATCTGCATCGACAGATGGGAACATGAGGCCCTTAGTGGGTGAGTGACTAAAGGGGCGGAAGGTCACACGACAACTCTGGCTCTCTGGGTAGAGAGCCTGGGGCCTGCGGAAGATCTTCGCCTCGCGAGGGCAGAAGACAACTCACTTCATCCTGCCCCCTCCTCTGGAGCTCCGTGTCAGGACCTCAGGGTCCTGGGATCTTTGGGAAGCCAGGGAACTTGGAGATGGGAAGTCTCTGAAGCAGAGGAAAGTTGAGACCATGCCTGGGTGGGTCCGGGAGGGGAGCAGAGAACTGAGTGGGCAGGGAAACCAGAGAGAGGAGATGGTCTTGGCCGAGGGTGAAGACCAGCAGCTGGAGACACCACATTTCATTTCTGTTTGTCTTTGGAGACCTGACTGGCTCTCCTTTTTTAAACAAAAATTTCTTCCTAATTCTGTGCAGCTCCAGCTGGTGTGAAAAAGAGTGTGCCTTCCGGAGCCCACACAGACTCTGTGTGGGGGAGGGCCTCGGAGCACGCGGGGTGACAGGGAGAAAGGGCTTGGAATGTCACATTTGACGCAAGAGGGTCATGTGCTGGGTGGAGACAGTAAACACCCGTATCTCTCGTCCATCTTTGTGGTGTTATGTTAGGGTTGGGAGGTTTGTGCTTTTAGCCAGAGTCCACCTATGTATGCACATTGCCCTTCCAAGTGGCTCCCTTGGGACACTGTACGTGAGACCCAATGACCACTGTGATGCTGGCAGCCATACAGCATCTTTAGCAAGTGCACAGCCTCCCACGGGACGCTTCTCATTCCCATGGTGTGCGCTGATATGTTTGTTAAAGTCAATCAACTGTATCCATTTCTTTACAGTCGCTCCGTGGGGATGTGTGTGTGTGTGCGCGTAGCTGTGGGGTGGGCACCCTCCCACAGGGGCGGGTGCTGGGACGCCAAGGAAGAGGCGGAGACTGGGAGAGAGCCCCGGGCCAGACCCACCTGCCTTCTGGATGTGAGCAAGCTCCTTGGTGACAGCGGCCGAGGCGCTGAGTCCACATAGGTTTTCCGAGAAGACCCGGAAGGAGTACGAGTTGCCCACGATGAGGTCGGAGATGGTGCAGGTGGTCGGGTGGTAGCGCTCCAGCACCGTGAACCATTGCTGCGGGGACCCTCCTGTCACCCTCACCTCCCTGCTACCTGCCACCCCTTCCTCAGAGGGGCTCATTCCAGGCCCTGTCCCTGGGCTGTGGAACCATCCAGCTTGGGGCCCGAGGGATTTTGAATTGGGAGAAGGGGCCCCTGAGTCACTCAGGTGACCTCTCTGGGGTCCTCAGAGAATTCTAGAGCCTTACTACTCAAGGTGTAGCCCAAGGACCTGCAAACTCAGAATCACCTGGGAGCTTCTTCCTGAGGGCAGGATCTCAGCCCCCGCTGGGGCCTACTGAATTACACTCTGCATTTTAGCAAGATCCCCAGGTTGATTCACATGCACACTACATTTCCAGAAGCCCTGCCCAGAGCCAGAAGGGCCTCAGAGAGCCCCCCCGCAGTCTTCAGGAGGAAACTGAGGCCCACAGGGAAAGGGATCTTGCCAAACGCTACACAGGGAGTCTGGTTAGCGGGAGGTAGATTCAAACTTGGTCCCTGGGCTCTTGATGGGCTGGGCCTTCCCCGTCACCTTGTCCTGTGCCTCCCAGCAGCCCCCCACCCTGCTCCAGCAGGCCTCACCCCTGTCTTTTTGTCTGCCTTCTGCACTGTGTAGCCCAGGAGGTCTGTGTTGCCTGTGTCCTGGGGTGCTGTCCACTCAAGGGCAGCGTTGCAGCCCCAGACGTCCAGTAGCCTGATGCTTCTGGGGGGTCCAGGTTTCTCTGCAGGACCGGAGTGTGAGAGGGGTGAGTGGGAGGGCTGGGCTTGCCACAAACTCCCCACACCAGAGATCTGACTTCCATCATGCTCCCCTGGCCTGACTCCATCAATGTCGGCTCTGGGGTAGGAGGTGGGGTCCCTGGGCCCCCAGCAAGGCAGCCCTGCCTCCCCTGGCCCAATACCGATCACAAGGATGTCAATGGCTGCCTTGGCCTCCATGCCTTCCAGCCGCACTGTGAGCTCATAGCAGCCTGAGTCGGAGCGCTGGGCTGAGCGGATGAAGAGGATGGAGTCCTGGTCCCCAGTGCGGATGCTCACCCGCTGGCTGTCCAGGGTGTGGCCGTTGTGGGTCCACGAGGCCTGAGGCTTGGGATTCCCCTGGGAGAGAGGATCCCTTAGAGGGGGTGCAGGACACCCCCTGCACCCACTCAACTCTAGGGCCTTTGAAGCTGTGCCCAGGGGAGCTGGCCCATTGGCCCTTCCCAGGAGGGGCAGCAGAGGCTGGAGCCACGGGTGCTACCCAGAGCCTCATTCTCCAGGTGTCCAGCCAGCCCTGGGACCACCTGCCCTGTCCACAGGCTGGAGAATCACAACAGAGTCATGTGCACAACAGAGGGAGGGTGAGGCCACCTTGGTGGGTCCAGGCAGACCTCCACGGGGACCCTGACATTTCCTGGGCTCCCTGACACACCTCTGATGGGGGCCCTGGTTCCAACCAGGCTCTTACCCTGGGCACCAGGCATACCCACCTGGAAGGGGATTTGCAGGTTGACTGCCTCTCCCACCTGGCGGATGTAGGTCTGACGAAGGTGGCGGGGGACACGGATCTTGGGGGCCTCTGCATCAAAGTGAGAGTCTAGGCTTAGCACAGCAGTGGAGGCGCTGATGGGAGGCTTCTGTGGCAGGGGTAGGGGACAGCTGGTGAGGCTTCTGCTGGGCAGGAGGGCTCCTGGGTGTGTCCTGGGGCTGCCTCCTTGTGGGATCTCCCTCCTGAGATCCAGGGACCCAATTCCCCTAAGGCCCTTGGGGAATGAGAGCCGGGAGGTTCCAGGAGGGCGGGACCTCCACAGTGTGAACTGGTAAGCGTCCCGGTCACTCCCTTGGCGCCCCGACCCTGCCAGGTTGGATTTGCAGCCTGGGCATTCCTGGGCTCCAGATGGGCCCCGGCTGGCTCCCTGGCTCCCCCTGGTGGGAGCAGGTGTGGCACCTGTGGGCCTGCATTCCCAGGAGGGGCAATGCCATCTTCCTCCTAATCCAGTCCCTCCATCTGCACCAGCCCAGGACCTTCAGGAGGCCCCTGTGAGAACCATTTGCCCATTGCTCTGTCTCCAGGCTGTATAGGAGGATTAGGATCTTTCCCTTCCTAAATGAGGCCAGAGCAGACGTACCCCTTCTTTCTCTGTCGCCCTCCCACTACCTTTCAGTCTCACAGTGGGGAAGTCCTTCCTGAAATCGTACTTCAGCCCCGTGCTGACCATCACCCACACAGCTGCAGCACGGGAGCCATCGGGCATTCCAAGGGAAGCCTGTAGCAGCCCCCGCCACTGCCCCCTGGGTGGGGCGGGGTGGTGGCGGTGGCTGAGGCTCCTCAGTGGCAAACAGGTGGCAGCAGTTGGTCGGTGGCATGCAGGGCGGAGGGGGAGGAGACAGTGAGAAGGAACACTGTGTCTCCGAGGATTAGCTGTGCAGGCACTTGGCTCTGTGATCATTAGGCGTGGAATGCTCCAGGGGCAGCTGCAGGGGGCCAGGAATGCTTGGCAGCTCCAGGTGGCCGAGGAGGCACAGCTGAGCAGCCGGGACCTGGATGGGGCCCCCAGCCTGCCCTGCCCATGAGGAGAGCCTTGCTGGTCTCTGTCTATTCACAGCCTCTCCCACCTCTTCTCTCCAGGAAATCCCCTTTTCTCCAGCCAGAGGAATTTTAATGGAGTGGTGGGTGCTGAGTCTGGCTGGCTCCTTCAGTGTTGGGCCTCAGAGTAGAGGGCCCTGGCTCCTGCAGCCTCTCAGGGAGCCTCTGAGCTCCCTGGGGCCCCTCCAGAAGGTCCAGGACCTTCCTGACCAGGAGGCTTCCTGGCCCCTCCAGGCCAGAGTCAGTGTGTCCATGCTGCAGCTGCCAGGTGGGCCCATGTCTCACTCAGACTCCAGGGACAGGAATGCCCTCAGTTTTGGAAACCACCAGAGAAGACCCCCTGTCCCCTGGGGGGCCATGAGTGGTCCTGTGTGGGAGTCAGGCTCTGAGACTGCTGCTAATTGGGTGGGGGACCTCGAGGGAGTCCCTGGGCCCCTTGGGACCTGCTTGGCTTGGAGGGACCAGCCGTGAGTCTGTGACTCTAAGCTTCCTAGCTCCATGGTTCCCACATCTCTCAGGTCTTGGAGTTGGGAAGTATTTCCTGGAACCCAAACTTGACCCCTCCTGTGGCCATGGAACCCCCTCCTTCTGTAGGCCTTTTCCAGAAGTGTGGGGTCCCCCTCTTGGGAGGTCAGGTAGGGGGTCAAAGGGGAAGTGGAGAAGACCTCAGGCCACCTGCTGGCCTGTGTCTCTCTTCACCCTGGGGCCCTGGGTTGTCCCCAGAGACCTTGGATCAGACCAAATGACTCACTGCCATTAACAGACTGAAACTCGATCGCCTCTGGGAGGGGAACAAGGGTAGGCTTGAGGCTAATGCACCCCACAAATAGAAATCTTAGCAAGGGGACAGCAGCTGGCCCAGGTCCCCAGCACGGCGCTGCACTCTGGGGATGGAGAAATCTTCACTGGTCTTTAGCAGGCCCTCATCTTCCCCCTACTAGGGATGTGTGGAACAAGAGGCAAGCAAAGACTTCTCTTGATTCAAAACCTTTGGGAGAATCTGGAACCCAGGCCATATAAAATGAGCAGAAAGTGAGTTTGCATGCCCGCTGGAGGTATTAAGCTCAGAGAGGAGGAAGAACGGAATGACTCTTAGGGTTGGGACCCTGAGGCAGGTGACCTGGGGAGCTTGTGCTTTCATTTCTGGGGGTCAGGAAGCCCTTCCCCCAGTGCTTGGGGCTGGGCCACTCAGGGAAAGGCCTCTGTGACCTCCAGAGGACCCTTGCTGCTGAGGAACCTGGAAGTTTCTTAAGGCAAGATGGCGATAGCATGTGGCTTGTACATGTGAGTGTGGGATGGGGGAAGTGACTCCCTGTTCCCTCTGCCCATTGGCCTCAGTTTCTCCACCCATCAGATAAGGTGCCTGGGGAGGGCTGGGGAGCAAGAGATGAAAGGGTGGGCTTTACCGATGGTCTTTTGGATGTGGACAGGCTGGTCCAGCACAGTGGGCGGGCCGGCCCCTGCAGAGCTCACCGCAGCCACACGCAGGAAGAACTTGTCTCCCAGAGCCAGGTTCCGCATGGTCTGCTGTGTCACCATCATGGGACGGGCATTCACAGGCACCCACGCCGAGGCTGGGGGAAATGGAGAGAATGCAAGGCCCTGGCTCCATGGCTGTGGGCACGTTTCTCCGCTGGCCTCCCTTCTCGCTGGTGATCTGGGGAAGCTGACCTCCCTCTCGGGGCCTTATCTCCTCCCCTTGCTCTTCTTCCCTGACTTCTCATTTTCAAATGGCATCAAAGACACCCAACATTAGAGCCCTGGAATGGTGGCCAGAGAGGGGTTGCTGAAGCCCAGAGAGGGTTGGACACATTTGCCAAGTCACACAGCAAGGGTAGCGGCGCAGGGAGAGGCCAGGCTGAACTTGGCTGCCATGGAGGTGGACAGCAGGACAGTGGCTACAGGAACTTGGCCAGAGCCCCTGCCCCCTATTTCTCTTCACTGTCCTTACTCTAACTGTCCCCCAGCTTCTCTGCTCTCCACCACCTGCTTGCCCTCCCCACTCAGGGTCCTCTGAGACTTGGCACCTCCTTCACTTGTCCTGGGAGCAGTGCCCTGGCTTCCCCTACCCTCTCTCTGTTGCTCAGAGGCTCCCTGCAGCTGGAGGATGGGGGGCTCCTGAGGTCATCCGGACATGCCCCTGCCTTCAGAGGTGCGTTGCTGGAGCAAGAAGCGGTGGGCGAGTGGATTGAGGGGCTACCTGCACTCCTCTGTGTCTCCCTGGACCGACCTGGCTGCAGGGTCTGAGGGCTGGTCCCCGCTGCCCCCCAAGCCCACCTCCCCTGGGTGTGTGTGGGGCTGAGCCCCAGCTCACCTCCCTCTCTGCAGAGCTCCAGCACGTAGCCCTGCAGCCCCAGCCGCCCCAGCCTCTCCGGGGGCTCCCAGCTCACAGTCACTGAGCTGTCGCTCACATCCTCCACGGCCAGCAGCCGCGGGGCACTGGGGAGATCTGAGTGAAAAGAGGGGAGATGAGAGCTCTCCTCCCACACTCCCTGCCCACCGCCTCCCTTCTCCGCCTGCCCCACCTCTTGTCACCTTCACTTGCAGGTGCGGGTTTAGTGGCTGCGGGGGCAAGTGCCTGAGGGGCAGGCTCCTGGGGCGTGGGAGCCTGCTCTTCCCTGGCCGACTCCAATGCTGCCACTTCTCCCGAGGGCTCTGTGGTGGGCACCTTGGCAGACTCAGAAGCGGTCTCCTCCGGACCACAGGCGGGGGCCTCCGAGGTGGCTATTTCTGTCATTGCTGGACTGGCTGGGGATCAGGCTGGAGTGTGCAGGGGTCAGCAGTGGAGGGTCAGGGCCTCCAGCGTGCCTGGGACACCTAGGTCCAGGCTTATATAGTCAGGGGCCGCCCCACCCCCAGCAAAATTATTCCCAGCTGTGGGGTCAGGTCAGGCGGGGGGACTGGGGGGTGGGGAGGCGCCTGGGCCAGGAATAGCTCTGGGGGAGGAACTGCAAGGGTCCCTTGAGGAGCGCACTACCTCGTCCATCACCCCGATTGGATCTCAGAAGCCAGGGTGCTGGTGCCCAGATGGGAGGAGGGCGCAGATGGGTGAGATGGGACATTGCCGGGAGCCCGTGCCAGGGGTCAGAGCAGTGGGAACGAGAGCTTCCATCTGGAGAATGAACCCAGATCAGGCTCTGTGTATTTGGCCTTTCTGGGGCCACCTGTGACCAGGGCTTCTCAGCCTGGTGCTGGGGCCCAGTCAGCCTGAAATAGCCTCCCTGAGAGCACCCCAGCTCTGCTCCTGGGTCCCACACTCCCCTGGTTCTCACATTCCTGGGGGACTCTGGCTTGTGCTGTATGAGGTTGAGGGCCCCAGAGAGGGAGGGAAATGGGAAGCCCCAGGTGGGGCTGAGGAAGGCCTTCAAGAAACAGGACTCCAGGAAGGGGGTCTAAGGCCCCTGGTCACTGCCTCTGTTGGGGAGGCAAGGACTCGGCCCCCTCAGTCCCTGCTCTGGGCCTCAGTTTCCCATGCATTACAAAGAGCCCTGTCACAGTCCCCTCGCCCTTGGGGGGGAATAAAGTCATGCGGCAGATCTGGAAGAGACCCTGGAGGAGGACAGCACTCTGAAATTTCTAGACTCCTGGAAGCAGGGCGTGGGCATGGGTAGTGGAGCAAACGAGGCAGGTGCAGCCAAATTTCTAGTTGTTGATTCATTTATCCAATAAAACATTTAGATTGGCAATAATTTAATAAGCCTGAAAATACCATGTGTCAGGGAGCTCTCACTGCTGGTGGAGAGTCGGTCGGAGGAACACCTCTGGAGAAAGGGAGACGGTATCTAGTCAAGTTGAATACGTGCATCCTCCGTGCCCCGGTAGTTACACCCCAGACACTCTCAAAGTGCGCCAGGGAGACACAATGAAAACCTTCACAGCAGTGTCGTTTGTAGTAGCCCAAATCTGGAGACATTACCTGTCCCTCCACGGTGGAACAAGTAAATACCTGGAGAGTGTGCACACTCATGAAGCCAGAAATGCTGTGATCCCACCCACGCTCAGTCAAGTGCGGGCGGCGCCAGGATCTCTTCTCCAGGCCTCTCTAGGTGCTGAGACCACAGAGGGAAGCAGCGAGAGTCGGGGTGGCGGTTGCCTGTGGGTGGAGGGACAGGGATGGATGTGACTGTGGATTTCAGGGGCACTAACGAGGTCATCTTTCCTGTCCTGGGTGGTGAGCACACAAGTTTTCACTATACGGTAATTCTTTAAATTAAACAAATACATTTTATGCATTCTTTATCATGTATTATATATCCCACAAGTTAAAAATAAATACACGTGTAATTTATTTAGGGTGCTTAGCCACAAGCACGCTCTCCTCCTTCCCCGTGCTGGGGGCACAGGAGGGTGGCTGCCTATCTCCTCTGGCTGTTCTTGCTGGGGAGGGGCGGTGGAGGGCCTGGGGAGCTTCCTGCTCTGCCTGCCTGGGCGCCCGTGCCCTCTGTCAGGTGACTCAGTGTCCTGCAGGGCAGGGGCAGGCCCTGGAGACTGATCCCCTTCCCTGGCCTCTGACTCTGCAGCTATAAGTGAGAGTGACTAACTCTGCAGGACCCTGAGTCAGCCCTGCAGGGCCTGTCCCAGGCTGGGGGAGGGCGGCCCTGGAGGCGGGGAGCAGGGGTTGGCTGCCCTGGAGGGCTCACAGCACGTGGGGTTTCAAAGACCCTTGTGTGTCGGGTGGGCAGTGGGCAGGGATCAGGGAATGCTGGGCCCACTGGCCAGCGGTGAAATGCTGGGTACCCCGAGGCTCTGGCCAAGTTCTCACTTTCTTTGCCTCCAGCAGCGCTGTGACCTTGGGATCAGTTGCATCGGCCCAGCTCCAGCTGGTTCAGATTTCAGGGCAGCCAATAGATACTTCCTTCCCTATACCTCAAACTGCTGTCACAAACTACTAGGCCAAGTCACAGATAATCCAAACATCGGGAATCCACAAATACATCTTCTTTGGTTTTGGAGTGCACGTCTGGACTCTCTTTGGATACAAGGCATGCTGGGGCCCAGGAATTCATAGGAACTTGGTGACAGCATCTTCACCTCATAACGGCTGGAAGGCAGGCTGGTCTTCTGAGCCCATCCTGTCCTGTCCCAACCCATCCCATCCCAACCTGTCCGCCCCCACCTCATGTCTCAGGCCAGCCTGGTTGAGGGCTGAGTGTGTCTCGAAAGGGGACAGATGAGCAGGACAGAGGGCTGAGTGGCAGCCCTAGGACGTCTGACAGATTTCAGCCCCGCAATAGGAAGGGCTCCTCCAAGGCACTGAGCTGTGAGTGTCAGGAGAGGCTGAAGGCCATTTCTCACGCACGCTCAGACTCCAGACCTGGAACAGAGGGAGGGTGCGTGGGGTGACACTGGTGTCTCCTTCTAGCCCTGAGAGGCCAGGTCAGGGTCTGGCCCTGTGTTGGCTCCCTGCACCTCCCGGGGGTCAGAGGAGATGAAGAATTGGGATTAAAGGGCTTCCTTGTTAGTGCCTGCTAGCCTTCGGGAAACAGAAAAGGCTTCTTTCAACAAGGAACTGCACAAAGAGGCCTAGACGACAATGACCTTAATATCTGGAAGGCTGTCAGCCCTCTTGGGCTAAGTCCATGGCAGAGGGATCTGAGGATGCTGGCCTCCTTTTGGGACTCCCTGGGGCCCAGCAGAGGCCAGGGTGGCCTCAGCTTCTGCAAACTCAGGGCCCCCAAGCCTGAGAAAGGAGTCCAGAAGAGATGGGGGAGGTGAGCCCAGCAGATGTGGTGGGGCCACAAAGACAGATGAAGCAGGCACCAACACTCTGTTAGGCTCAGGTTCTTTATTGAGCAGTTGCAGAATCAGGAAGGGGATGTGGGGCGGGAGACACTACTGTGTTCCCTGGTGAAGGTTTCAAGCTGGGCTTTGCAGAGGGTATAATTAATGTGACTGTTGTTTCTCCTAAGATGTACTTGGTGGTAGAGCTCACAAAACAGTGTCCCTTGTCAGGGATGCCTGGGGGTAAGGGAGCTGAAGAAATCCCCTTGTGTGAGGCTGAGCAGGTTCATCCATCAGCAGTGTGTGCTGACTCTGTCTTAGGCTGTGCTAGTCTCCAGGCCCTAACTGCCCACAGCCCCACCCCAGCCTGCCTGTCAGCAGAGCCGAGCTCAGATCCCAGCGCTGTGGCCCTCTGCAGGGAGTCCCTCTGCACAGGGTCCGAGGGAGGGAGACTCTGAGGCTCAGCGGTGCAGCTGATCAGGCTCCTGACGGCGGGAGCCAAGGGCTGAGGGCCGCCCCACCATGCGCAGCAGGACAGAGGGCTAAGCGGCCGCGAGAGCATCCTTGATGGCACTGGTGAGAGGGAAGTGCAGGTTCTGGCCGCAGAAGGTGCCCCGGAAGTCATCCAAGTCCAGAGCCCACACCATGGCGCCTGCCAGCTGCCTGTTCCTCAGGTACTGCACCTGGCAGGGGCCCAGAGGCAGAGGCTGGGTTCCAGGGCCAGGGTAGGTACTGGGGGACAGGTTATCTGGGTTCCTCCCCAGGGGAGGGACCAGCAGGCACGGGAGACCCAACCGGTAACCGAGCCCCACTCTCAGTGCAGGGCCCCCTCCCTCCTCATCCTGAGGCATGGCCTCGGGAACCTACCTTGCTCTTGACGCTCTCCTGGTCCTCGTACCCCACCCACTGGTTGCCCTTGGTGGCATAGGGTACCAGCTGGCCAAGGAGTCTGTGCACAGTGGCTCCCCCGCGGAGGAAGTCACAGATCTGAGCAGAGAACAGGCAGGGTGGTGTGGGGAGCAGTACTGAGATTTTGCAGGTCCCTGGGGGACACCACTCCCCAAATATCTTTCAGCCCCTTGCTGCCTCCTGCAGGCTTCATGCAAATTATGTAAAACAGATGCAAGTATCCCAGAGTTCTGTGGCTGCTGTAGCCTGAGGGCTTTAAGGGGGCTCTGATTTGCTTCCTGCACCTTCAACAGGGGTGTGGGAAATGGTGGGGATGGTGAGGACTGGCCTGAGGCTGCACAGAGCAGCAGAGGCTGGGCGGAAACAAAAGAACCTGCCTCTGGGCCATTGCTCTTTCCTGACCTAGAAGGAAGGCCCCAGCTCGGTGGCCAGAGGGGTATCTGGGAGCTTGGGGGTGCAGACCCAGTGTACCTGGGAGACTTAGTAGTCAAAGATCTGACACCCCCGCCCCACCTCAGGTGCTAGGTCCACTGGAACATTTTTTATTCCCAAAGTAGCAATAGTGGGGGTGGAGTGAGAGGCTCGCCTTCCCCGGGGCTGCTGGTGGTGTAGGGTTCTCAACTCTTCCCCACTTTATACCTCATAGTAGGCGAGGATCCCTTCCTCCTTGGTGAACCGGCCTGGTATTCCAGGCCCCGAGGTCGGGGCTCCCACATCCGTCTTGGAAGAGGCCAGAGTGAAGCTCCTCCCAAAGGTGGGGATGCCCATCACCAGCTTATCGGCTGGGGCCCCCAGCCTCAGCATGTAGCCCACAGCGTAGTCCTGGGGGGGGAGGTGGGCAGAGCGGAGGCAATGTGAGTGGTTGGCTGGGCAGGATGGCGCAGGCTGTGCCCTGAAAGGTGGAGTTCCAGGTCTACGTGCATCTGGGACTCCCGTTCCTTCTGGGAACCGACAACGTCAGTCTGAGATGCATTTTATACTCTCATTCTTGAACAAATCCTCTTAGGTCTCAGAAGGGATTATTACTATTTGATGGTGATTGGCTAGAGTTACACAGCAAGCGAATGGCAGGTCTAGACTAGACTCTGGCTTCCTTAGCCCCCACCCCCGTGTGTGCTCTCTCCAGTCAGCCCTGAGATGTCCTGAGTCTTCACAGAGGTATGGCCTCCTCTGTTCCTGGAGCCGTGGAGAATGCATAGTCTTTGGGCCTCAGTTTCCTCATCTGTGAAGTGGGCCCTATAACCCCTCCCCTGCAGGATCCCTGAGGAGTGGAGGGTGGTGTGTGAGCACTGGCAGGTAGCAGGTATTTGTGGCCCCCCCGCCCTCCCCGTTCAAGGCACTCACAGCATTGCTGAATCTGTCAGAACTTGCATTCTCCTGGCCCCGGAACAGGGGGCTGTGATGCCCTGTGGTCTGGTGCCAGGATCCATGAAAGTCATAGGTCAAAAGATTGATGAAGTCCAGGTGTCTGTGGAAGAGGGGTTGGAGGGCGAGGTGAAAAATTAGAAAAGCTCTTGGCCTCACGTCCACCACCCAGCAGGTTGTGAACAGCTGAGAGGCCATTAACCCAGACCCTAGTAGAACCCAGTGATCCACTGTCCAGGCTGCTGGACTGCCCCGCTGTGCCAAAGCAGGGAGTGGGCTCAGGGCCCCACGAGTGCATTTAGAGCAAGAAGGGGGTTCTTCTGTTATGCCCCCAGCACACAATTGGGAGCTGGCCTCCATCTCGCCTTACCCCCTCCACTTCCACCATGTTCATCTTGGGGAAAGAAGATTAAAAGTGGCATCAACAGAGAGCACTGTGGGGAAAGAGCAGGACCAAACGATGGCCTGAACCTGCGCTCCACTGGGGAGGGGAGGAAGGTTCCTACACACACAGGCAGGGGGACTGTGTGAATATGACCTTCGGATGTTTGGGGTAAATGGTTGAGAGCCACCTGGTTCCCACCCTCTAAATGATCACGCCGAGTCTACACTTCCCTAAGATCCCAAAGAAGATTCTAAAGTCATAGTGAAGAGCCCTTATTCTTTATCCTGCGTTTCCTAGGACCTGGGCCTTTTTCCCACTGAGGGATCAGGCCGCTTGGCTGTGGACGTGCATGAGGGGCAAGTGAGGAGGGCGGGCGACAGCCAAGGGTGCCCGTGTGTGTGTGTGTGTGAGCACTGAAGGCTCCCCGGCATTCCGGAGAGGAAGGTACGGTGACTGCGGCTTTGACTCTCCAGAGACTCGCACTCCACTCAGCCTGGCTTGGAGAAAATGCCGGTTAGGAGCTGGTTTGTGTAGCTTTTCTTACTTCTTGTTCCGCAAATACGTGCACAGAAACTCTCTCTATGGTTCAGCACTATAGCCCAAGAGAAAGATGGAGGACAGGGAGTCCTATGCCCCATTTGACAGATGGGGTGACTGAGGCACAGAGAGGGGAAGTGACTTGCTCAAGGTCACACATCAAGGTTTTGGAAGCATTGGGACTGGAGGGCCAGTCTTCTGACTTCCTGGAGTGCTAGGACAGGATGGGCAGGGGACCCACCGGGATATATGGGCGACGTCATAGCCACTGTCGATGGTGACCTTCCCTGCAGACATGGCTGCGCTGAGCAGGAGCTGCTCTGCCCCGCCCTGGGCTTCCTTTGCAAACTCAGCCTTCATTTCCTGGTTGGGAGAGAGGCAGGCGAATGACAGGGGCCAAGGTGTGTGAGCACCTTCCCGTCTGCCCCATCCCCAACCTGGTGGGGCCCAGTGGAATGATAAAGTGCGCCAGCAGTGGTCCCTTCATCGGGCTCATCCATTCTTTTCTTAAGAAACCGTTTGGACCAATCTCGTCCCCAAACCCCAGGTACACCATCAGCACTCAATTACTCCTGTCCGGAGGGACCAGGAAACCTGCTGGCCTGTAGACAATGTCGGAAGAAATCAGCCTTTTGGTCTGTGCTTTGTTTGAGCTGCTACACGAGACTGCAAAACTGAAGTGACTTAGGTTGGTACGTGGACAATTTGTTTACACGTCCGCTCTGCCCTGGGGTGAGTGGGGGTGCCTAGGCTGCCCCCTGGGGCTGAGTGTCCCCGATGCAGTGCGTGCTAGGGGGGCGTGCAGCTTCAGTTGGGGGCTGAAGAGTGGACGATGACGCTCCACCCAGTGGGCAGTGACGAGTGAGTGCTCTCTGAGTGACCTTCTGCCTCTTGGGACCCCAGCCTACCTCCTACCATGGTCACAAGATGTCTTCCTTGCTATGCAAGGTCTCAGGGCGCAGGCTGGCTGGTCCTATCCCTGGTGCAGGTCCCAGGACCCTGCCGCACGGAGGCCTCCGTGCCTCTGCCTGCCCTCAGGAGGCCATGGGCTGAAGACAGCTTCTACCCACGCCACTCCCAGTGCCCACGCACCTCCCCGCCCCGACCAGCACCTTGGCCAGAGTGGTGAGATGCCGCTTGTCTCTCCGTCCAGGGTAGAGCCAGGCTAAGTCCAGCCCGTCAAAGCCATGGGTCCGCAGAAATGGCGGCACCGACTTGATGAAAGTCCTGCGACTCTGAGTGTTGGAGGCTATTTTGGAAAATCTAGGACCAAAATCACCCCAGCAGAGTGCTCAGCACTGATAGGCTGGGGGATCCGGCCCTCTGGGGGGGTTTCTGAGGCATGTGGAGCAGGAGCCTGAACCTACAGCTTTAGGAGGGCGTGGTCGGACAGGATCTACCTCCAGGCGTCTTAGAAAGAGCGTTGGAGCCAGACATTCCTGGTGTCCGTGCCTAGCTGTCTCACCTACCAGCCAAGCCACTCTGGGCAGGTCATAACCTGAGTGTCAGTTCCCTCATCTGTAACATGGGGATAAATGCCTCGTCTCACGTCATATCTGCTGTGAGGATCACCTGTGATGACGGCTAGAAAGGTGCCTGACATGCAGGAATTGCTCAATACGTGGGAGCTGTTATGGCCATTCCTTGCCCCTTTTTAAGCCCTGCTCCAGCTCTCCCCATTCCAGGAAGTCCTTGCAGGGGCTCCACTCGCAACTGTTCCCATTCTTCCCATCCGTCTCCTTCCAGCCCTTAGGGCAGTAACCCCCAGAATCTCTTTGTTTTCAGGTCTGAGAAGTAATGAAAAGAGCATTGGCAAGGAGTCAGAAGACCCACTGTCAACTTGCTGTGTGACTCTCAGCAAGTCTCTCTCCCTCTCTGGCCTCTGGTTTCTTGGTTGTACATGAGGCTAGCCCCTGACAACCATCTTGGTCTCTATGCCTAACCAGTCTGGGGCCACTGTGACCCCCATACAGTGGGTGAGGGGAGACCTATGCCTCTATTCCATCATCCTCTGGGGAATGGGTCCTACCTTTGAGAACCAAAGTTCCATCCTCCAACAGACAGGAGAGTCTTCAGGTTGGGGTTCCTGTGGGGCACAGGGAGGCAAGAAGGCAGGGTGGAGTAGAGTTGTTGTGACACTGGGGGCCCAGTGTTTGGGAGGCTGTAGCAGGCTTCTAGCTTTGGGTGGGAGGCTGAGTTCCGCCTCTGAGGGCTTTCTAACCCTGAGATTCATAGACTTTGTGGCAGTTATTCTGAGGCATGCTCATTTTTGTCCCCCCATGGGGAAGCCAGGATATGGCAGAATAGAGTCGTGAGCACTTTCCCTGCTCCCTGGAGAGGCGCCTCAGGGGAAGGAGAGGGCTGCCTTTCCCAGGGTGCCTTAGCTGTGTCTTCTTCTACTGTCTGCCTCCATCATTGCCCCAAATACTGCCAACCCCTGCCCTCATCACCTCCTCCCACTTAAGCCAAGGCCCTCCAATTCTCCACCCAGAGGCGGGGAGGGGGGCCTTGCCCATCCCCTGGAGCAGAGGTGCCCTGCCCTGGGACCAGTGGCTGACCCTCCCTCTTCCTCCTGTCCTGGCCAGCCAGTGGCCCAACCTGCTCTTGAGTGCGTTCAGTGTGTCATAGAGCGTCACATCGTTCCACTCCCAGGTATCGATCTCATTGTGGCTTATATTGGCAAAGCTGTAGATGACGTGGGTGCAGAGGAAGGGGTCGATGGCATCTGGAAAGCAGCTCCCGTCACCCTCACGGTACTGGGACCAGCTGGTGTAGTAGCAGACCAGTTTGTATGCAGTGCCTGAAGGAGAAGTCTGGGTGGGGCCTGGGCCAGGGTTGAGCCAGGGACCCTCCGGCCGAGCCCTGAGCTGAGAATGAATGGGGTGTTGGGGGGTGGGCAGAGTTGTGGGCAAAGGTAGAATTCTAAATGAAAGGTGCTGGTTCAGGTCCCTCTGCCACTGGGGAGTTCCCTGTCTGATGAATATAAGGCCCATTCTGAAAATGCTTAGAAAAGATCAAACACAGTGGATGAATATGCTGCAGACTAAGAACAGGGCACTGTGTGTGGGAGCGTGGAGCATGAATAAGGATGAAATGGGACTTGTGCAAGTAAAGAAGGCTTCCTGGAGGCAGTGGCTTTGAAGGAAAGGAGGGACCCAGCCCAGGACAGCCCGTGTCAGAAGACCCTGGCCTTCAGGGGGAACCCTTGCAGGACCTGCAGTGGGGTCGTTGATCTGGGAGGCTCTGGCCTGTCTCTTCTCTGCCTTCTTGTGGGACCAACCCCAACTCGTAACCCACCCAGAACGGCAGTCCCCAGGCCCCTCAGCCCATTCCCTGAGGTGGGGCACGATCATAGGGACCAGGAAGTTCTTCCTCTCCTCTCATCCTAATTCCTCCTGCTGCAAAGCAAGCCTTCTCTGCCCTCCTGTGATGGAGCAAGAACATGCTGCTGCTGGGCTCCTGTTAGTGGTTCCCGCCAGGCCCACAGTTGAAGCCTGCCTTGAATCTGGGCCTTTGAAAGTTTTTTATTTTGAAAATTTTCAAATATACAGAAAAGTCGAGAATAGTATAATAAACCTCTGTATACGCATCATCTTAGTATAACAAATGTTAATATTTCTGAGCCATTTGAATCCCAGAAGAAACTGGGAAAGTGCTCCCCTAGTGTCAAGACCTTCTCCACAGCCCTCACCACACCCGCCTCTGTGACTTAAAAGGGGGCTACTTACAGCTCTGGAGCAGCACCAGGACCGCGAAGCCTGCAGGAAACCCAGGGTGAGACCCCCTGCTCTCCCTACCAGAGAGCCTTTTAGCAATTGACAAGTACATCCCACCCTTCCTCCTGCTCCTCCATCAAGGAATCAGGGGGCAACACCAGCCTCTCCCTCCCTGCCCTACTCCCCTGCCCCTCCCCCAGCAGGTGGGAGGCCAGCCCTTTGTGCAGTGGCTCTGTGACCAGCCAGAGACCTGTCTGAGCAGCCTTCAGACCCATCCTGGCTGCAGCAGAGGAGGCGTGGTGTAGCCTCTTCCGGTGCCCTCCGTGCCCTCTGCTCCTGGTGCCCAGCTGCCTAGCTGGAGCCTCTTCTCCAGGCACGCGCTTCCTTTTATACCTGCCCCACTCTGCTCCCCCGTACCCCAAACCATCCCATTTACAGGAACTGAGCTGTGTGTCAATAAAGGAACTACCAGGCTGGGAGGTGTCAGGGGAGGAGCCCCATCGGCCGCCAGAGGAGGGTTGAGAAACCCTGGAGAGTTGTGAAAATATGGGCCAGGCCTTCACTTGCCCGCAGAGGAACCATCAGCATGCTGACCTGGGCTCCCGGGTGAGGCACGTGGCCTCACTCCCAAAGGTCTTCCTCCCACGCCTGCTGCACCCCCACCACCCGCTTCTCCAGCCAGCAGTTTCCCAGCTTTTCTGGCAGCTTGTACCTTCACCTCGCCAGCCCTCAGTCCAGGCCCTTGGCCAGGTTGACACTGGGCACAATGGAGTTCAGCACCCCAAACAAGGCTGTTACTCAACCCCCACCCCCCACACCCAGCCCAGCAGCCATCCTGCCTGACCTACTCTCCCCTCAGACTTTCTCTCCAAGCTGTTTCCCACAGCCTGGCCTGAGAGGCAGGTGAGAACCAGAGAGCCTTTTAGCAATCGACATGCTGATTATTCAAAGGAAAAGCTGGGAGGAGTGGGAAATTCCAAGATTGCTCTGAGGCCTGGGGCTGTTGTGCTTCCTTTTTGAAATGCCATTAAAATGAGTGAGAAAGGTTCTGTTGCAAGTCTGCTGCTGCAGTGAAGTTCTGAGGAGTAAACACCAGTGACTTTCGATTTCCTGCAGGAGCAGGTCATCTCAGCAGATGAGAATCTCCATCTCTGCTCCTCTCTCTTGAAACCCAAGCCTCATGATGTCACCCCTCTCTAAATCCTTCAGTGATTTCTCATCATTCTCAGGATAGGAACAAAACTTCTTAACAAGGCATGGTTTGGCTACTGTCTGTGGATATGTTTTTAGGCCAAAGATCCAGGACAACTCCACTCTTTGCAGGCTGGAAATTAATTACTCGGCAGTGAGTGAAAAGTTCAGAACTCTGAGAGCCAGAATGGGTCAGGGGGCTTTTCAACAAAGTCCCTTTATTTTTACAACAACATTTTAATAAACTGATGCTGGCCACACTTGTTTCATAGCCCTCTCTTGGTGAGGTCTCTCCCTCTGTCCCTTCCTCTCTTTGTCAAACTGGAATGACTCCTTCTCTGTATTGTAAGAGAAGTGGACTGTCCAGAATTGTGTCTGTGAATACTAGAAGGTCACTGCTTCCCCTTTTAAGGCAACCGCCTCCCTTTGTACCTAGATGGTTGACAGCAATGACAGACAGTGATAACTCCTCCTTGTTCGTTGGGCCACTGAAACGTGGACTCCCCTAATCTCTAACAGAGGTGTTACAAAGCAGCATGCATGCAAACATTTTCATAACAGGGTGCAGGATGTTAAGAAAACACCTCCTATTTTCACTCTTTTCCATTGTTAAAAATTATCTCATAGGCTCGGATTGGCGCAAGCCTTGTTGTCCTGTGCTCCCCCAAACTCAGTTTATTAATTCCACATGTTCTGCATGAAGGTGGTGATGGTGCTCAGGGCAAGCTGCCCCAGGAAGCACCACTCTGGTATGCGGATTATTTCGAGCTGAAGACAATAAGGACATTTGACCTCCCCCACTAACTGCCTAAAAAAAATCTGACATGGTGGCTCATTCCTGGAACAGATCTTCTATCATGATGGCTATAAAGATAATGTAAAATAGAT